GAGAAGACAAAAGCTGAAACAAATCCAGCATTAAAACGTTTCAACTAAAATACTATAGAGTTCATAATCCATAATAACACTTCCTCCAGTGAAAAAGTGCATCTGCTGTTGTCTCTCTCATCAAAATCCAGCCACATATTAGTTTAGAGCTGTTTAAACGCTGCTTGATCTGTGCAGATTTCTCTCCTGATTCAGACCAGAACACTTTTTCACTGGAGGAAGAGTTATTATGGATTATGAACTCTATGGTGCTTGAGTTAAAAAGGTCTTAATGCTGGATTAGTTTCAGCTTTTGTCTTCTCCAGATGTTAACTGATGGACTGGAGTGCTGTGGATTACTTGTGGATTATTGTGATGTTTTTATCAGCTGTTTGGACTCTCATTCTGACGGCACCCATTCACTGCAGAGCATCCATTGCTGAGACACTGATGCAATGCTACATTTCTACAAATCTGATGAAGAAACAAACTCATCCTAATCTTAGAAGGTCTGAGGGTGAGCACATTTTTAGCAAATCTTAATTTTTGGGTAAAATATTGCTTTAAGGAAAATAAAGATCATATTTAAATGTTTATTCTATGGCTATATTTAAAAGACTTCCTCTGAAGTGCATTTATGGAATCTAATCTAAGCTAAATTAGATTTTAGGGTGTTGTTTGATGTTTGGTTTTAAAGTTAAGTATTGAAGTGTTTTTACTTTGATAAATCATTTGCATTTAAAACTATGCTAAATGAAAATATTGCAAACGTACGTTAAGATAAAAACACGGAACGATTTTTTTTCTCTCTGTTTATTTTTGCTGTCTCGACTGCTCTCTTTATTCACACACACTCGTCTGTCTCTCTGACACATTTGTGTTTAACTGCTCAAGCCTGACGCCTCAGAGATGACAAACACACTCACTGATCCTGACGCTTTCTGCTCACAGTACAGTGAACACACACACACACACACAGACACACACACACACAGAGAGAAACACACAGAAACACACACTCACACACACTCACACACACTCACTCACTGCAGTGTCGCTGTCAGCTTTTAATCACATCTTCTTTCATACACACACAAACAGGAGTAAGTATCATGATGATTGTTCTCATTAACACTGATGAAATGATGTTTAAACATGCTTGATGGACAGTCAAATACCCATAATCACATTCAGCTCTCCCTCAGTTCATGCCAACTCTCCGAACCCTAGTGAGTGCCCTACATAGACAGCATGAGAAGGCTCAAACATCATGCCTCCCAAAATGAAATGCATGCATTATTCACTTTGTCATGTGCTGCCTATGTAGGGCACTCGCTAGGGTTCGAGCAGAGCTGGTGTCTGTCTCTGAGAGCTTCTTTCCTCATATTTTGTGCGGCGCTTCAGGTTTTCTGCTGCAGGCTGAGATTGTGTGTGTTTCATGTTTGTTGATCGAATTCACTGTGGCCTGATTTTACTGCAAGATAAACACAAGGTCAGCAGCACACACACACACACAATCAAACATACACATTCTCTCTCACACACACACACACCCTCTCTCACACGCACACACCCTTAAACACACACTCGCTCTCACACACACCCACACACTCTCTCTCACACACACACACACACACACAAACACACACCCTTAAACAAACACACACTCTCTCACACGCACACACCCTTAAACAAACACACACTCACACACACGCACACACCCTTAAACAAACACACTCTCTCACACACACACACACACACCCTTAAACAAACACACGCTCTCACATACACACACACACACTCACACACACCCTTAAACAAAAACACTCTCTCACACACACACACACACACCCTTAAACAAACACGCACTCTCACACACACTCACACACCCTTAAACAAACACGGACTCTCACACACACTCACGCACTCTCACACACACACACCCTTAAACAAACACACACTCTCACACACCCTTAAACAAACACGCACTCTCACTCACACACACACACACACACACACACACACACACTCCACAACAGATAAAGAGTATCCGTGTGCATAACATTATCAGTGTATAATCAGCAGGAGATTATATTTACCCTGAGAGCGTGGCGTAATGCTCAGAAGTGTTAGCGAAGCGCCTGCAGTATCTGGGTCTCGTTCCCCGGAGAAGCGCGCGGATCTCATCAGGTCACTCTCCGATGGGCCGATAACGGGAGCGCTTTGATTGTGATGTTTGCTGCGAGCGCCGCGGATCTCAGCTTCTAAACGCTTTCATAATCTACTCTGAGCTCTCTATTACTCTGGTCTCTGTCTCCGAGCAGCTGTGCACCGAGCTGAATGCGTACATGCTGGCGGACATGGCTCACATCAGCGGACTGGTAGCAGGCAAAGCCATTCCCTCGCCGTTCCAACACGCCGACCTCGTCACCACAACCACACACAAATCACTGCGAGGATCCAGGTACACCTCAACCAGAGACCAGTGGCTCTTCTGTGATCCATTTCTCAAAGCCTGTGTGCAGTACTAGTGTACCGCCAGTGTTTAGTGCACAAACCATTCATTCTTTGAAAGAAATTAATACTTTTATTCATTAAGGATGCAGTAAATTGATTAAAAGTGACAGTCAAATAAATGCTGTTCTTTTGAACTTTCTATTCATCTGTGAATCCTGAAAAATAAAATGCATCACGGTTTCCACAAAAATATTGTGCAGCACAACTGTTTTCAACATTGATAATAATCAGAAATGTTTCTTGAGCAGCAAATCAGCATATTAGAATGATTTCTGAAGATCATGTGACACTGAAGACTGGAGTAATGATGCTGAAAATTCAGCTGTGCATCACAGAAATAAATTACAGTTTAACACATATTCACATAGAAAACAGTTGTTTTAAACTGTAATAATATTTCACATTTTTAGTGTATTTTTGATTAAATAAATGCAGCCTTGGTGAGCAAAAGCAGATTTTAAAAAAAGCCTTACTGCCCCTAAACTTTTGACTGGTAGTGTAACAAAACTTGCAGTAAGTTGCATTGTAAGTAAGTTGTTAAATTGTTACACTGTCAAATGGCAACATTAAAATAAATAAAATGGTTATTTTGAATTTTATTTTATTTTTTCCAGTTTTGTGTAAAAATGTCATAACATTGGCGGTCTGATCAAATAAGAAAAAAAAAACATCAAAATCGCAGCAGATTACGGTAGCCGAAGGTCAGTTTTAGCACATTGCATTGTGGGATCTCATGCAATATGCTCTGCACATTTTTAGAAAATATAGTAGATGATCTGGATGTTGCATGCATGCAGAACATAATGTGCGCAGTACACATACTGCATACTAGAGTAAAGCTGTTTTTCTGGTGATCTCCATCATTAACCGTTTCTCCGCCTCCTCGGCTCTGGCTCCTCCCTCAGGGCGGGGCTTATCTTCTACCGGAAGGGCGTGCGCTCGCTGGATAAGAAGGGCAAAGAGGTCATGTACGACTTGGAGGAGAAGGTCAACTTCTCTGTGTTCCCTTCGCTTCAAGGCGGCCCGCATAATCACGCCATCGCCGGCGTCGCTGTGGCTCTCAAACAGGTCCTGCTTTGCTTTCACTTCCAGATTATTAGTCTTTCTGCTAGTGCTTAACCCATATGCTGATATCATAGAGAGCAGGGTGGCAAATAATAAACTGATATATGTGATATCACACTATTTGAATTAAATACACATGCATAACGATTTCTGAAATTAAATGTATATTTATTTTACATATTTACAAAATTATATATTTTCATTTAGTACTGGACTTTAGAAGCTAAATAAATACATGTTTTCCAGAAGACAAAATAAGTAAATAATTTACCCTGATCATCCAATTAAAAAAGTTTACACCCCCCAGCTCTTAATGCATCGTGTTGCCTTCTTGAGCATCAGTACATGTTTTCACCTTTTGTAATAATTATGCATGAGTGATGATGGAAAAGATGGATTTCAAAATCATAGTCAATGTTGGAAAGTGGTCAAATATGCAGAAGATGCTGGAAAACCAAAGAATGTGCAGGAGCTGGGGGATTTTTCTGAAGAACAGCAGGCAGTTGAACTGTTCAGGACTCATGAACAACTATCACAAAACATAAAAACAGTCGTGGATCATCCAGGAAACGACACACAGTATTAAGATTCAAGGGTATGTAAACTTTTGAACGGGGTCATTTTTATAAATTCAGTTATTATTTTGTCTTGTGGAGTATATGTAAACATATGTTATGTGAAATAGCTTATTCAGGACAGTACTAAATAAAAAATAACATGCACTTATCATGATCCCTCTTATTTTGTTTCAATTATTAACATTTTGCACATTCTGCAAGGGGTGTGTAAACTTATGAGCACAGCTGTATCTGTCGATCACAACTTTCTACTTTGATTCCCACTGTTTATTAGCGGTTCATACGTTGAATTAATATCCTGCAGTTCCGTATGCAGCATCATCTGCGTCCTGAATCATCTCCTATTCTCTCTCATCTTCTCCTGAACAATGGCTGGTGCACTTGGGAGCTCATTTATGATTTTTGATAATTGATAGCTCTTCATTCGGTCTCTCTTCAGGCCACGACGCCCATGTTTTGTGAATACATCGCTCAGGTTCTGAAGAACTCGAAGGCCATGGCCGAGGCGCTGCTGAAGAAGGGCTACACGCTGGTCTCTGGTGGGTTTTTCACTCGCGTCTCGTCTGTTTCTGCGCTGTAGGTTTTCTCTTCAGTGTTTGTCTGGGAATGAGACGACGCCACTGGATTCTCCGGGAAGATGAAGTTAGTTTTCCTGCGTTTTATCAGTGTGTGCTGCAGGAGTGAGACTCAAACCTCTACACTGCAAAAAAGGCTTAACTTAATTAGTATTTTGGTCTTATTTTTAGTCAGAATATCTAACAGTTCTTAAATTAAGATGCATTTACTTGTTAAGCAAAACAACATATTTAGTCTTGTTTCTAAGGGAACAAAACTAAATTAAGTGCATTTTGTTTAAAACAAGTAAAATTATCTTCCAGTGGGGTAAGTAAAATATTCTTAAAACAAGAGAATTTTACTTACAACACTGGCGATTGATCGCCTTCTGCTAATTCACGCCTGCACACTAGGTGGCGCCGACCAGCAATGCATTTTTACTCCGATATGCATCTCATTTATGGATTTAACATCGTCCACTGCTCAATACACAGCATTAAATATAGATAAATAAAGTTTGGTTCTATGCCAGAAACACAAACTATCACTCCAGATCACATAATTCAATGGAGAATTCAGAAATGATATTAAGAACATGTGAGAATAAATCTGTTCTCAGATACCAAAGATAACAGGAACTAAGAATCAACTCTCTTCTCTCTACCGGGATACTCTTCTTCGGTGTTTGTTTACACTGGTTTTCGCAACAGCAGCTGCTCCGGTCACGTGATCTAAGCTCAAATCTGATTGGACGGCCCGTTTCATCGCGGAGCGACGGGGAAAAATTCGACACACAGGACGAAAAAAAAAATCTCAGAATTTTCGCTTTCAGTGTGAAAAGCCCTTAAAAAAGGGGCAAGTTTCTCTTGTTTGTTTTTTTTTAAACAAGACAAAAATACTAAGTAACATAAGCCTTTTTTTGCAGTGTACGATTGAAGATCTTAATGAACTAATTAACTAAAGGAGGTGATTATAGTGTATATACAGTATTAGTGAATAGTCCTGTTAATGATTCAGTGTTTGTTGTGTGGATTGAAGTGGTAGAAAACATCTTCATAACACACTGATACTTGAAAGACCTTCAGACGCATGAACATCTACTAACACATGAGATCTGGTGCTTCTTTAAGCGTCATCCAATCATATAATCATGCAGACGGCCTCATGGACCTTAAAAACATGAACAGAAGGAAATACAACCCGGATCACAGTAAAAACACGTGGCAAGGATAGACGGGGTTTGCGGGGAATCATCAGATGAGCACATCATCAGCGTTTTTAAAAACATTTAAAGGATGTTTTTCAGGGTTTCTGTGGGTCTTAATTCACCTTTCAGCAGATTAAAACCTAAAAAGGTCTTAAATGAGAGCAGAAAATCTGAAAATCATAGTTATTGTAGTCAAAATCATAGTTATTAATCATAGTATCAGTGTTGGGGAAAGTTACTTTTAAAAGTAATGCATTACAATATTGCGTTACTTCCTAAAAAAGTAACTAATTATGTTACTTAGTTACTTTTTATTGAAAGTAATGCATTACAATATTGCGTTACTTCCTAAAAAAGTAACTAATTATGTTACTTAGTTACTTTTTATTGAAAGTAATGCATTACGTTATTTTTGCGTTACTTTTTACATCTGGGCTGGACTTGCTTGTTTGCTTTTAATATAAAAAGTTCTATTTTTGGCAAATGTAAAAGCCCTTTCACACCAAAAGCCTCAGGCTGAAGGAAAAGTAAATTCACGTCGCATATTTAATTATTGCAACTTTGCGTCATATTCTCATTTTGAGTGAGTGAGATGAATTAATGCATGTTCACATTTATTGTAGAACTAAAGTAACATCTTACTCCTGATTTCTCTCAACATGGGGACAGGAGAGCTGTCAATCAATAAATGGGAAAAAAAGTAACTGGCGTTACTTATTTGAAAAAGTAATGCGTTACTTTACTAGTTACTTGGAAAAAAGTAATCTGATTACGTAACTCGCGTTACTTGTAATGTGTTACCCCAACACTGGTTATGATATTTAATGTTGCATGAACTGCAAAAAAAGAGGAATCTCTTCCTCAGTATTTTTGTTTTCAGTGCAAATATCTAAACGTCCTTAAAACGCATTTGATTGAAATGCACCATGTACAGTAGATAAGAAGTCTAACAAATTGATCAAAATTAAGTGAGTTTTGTTTGTTTTTTTTTAAAACAAGAACAAATATCTGTCGATGAGGAATGAAAACTTGTTTTCTCTTTGAATTAAGTTGATTTTTCTGATTGCATTGGCAGGTATTTGTTCTTGTTTCAATTATAAACTTACTTCATTTTGTTCAATGTATCATAAAACAAGACTTAAGTCATTTTTTTCCCCAGTAAATGTATCTTGATTTAAGAATCTAAGAAATCTCAAGACTGAGGAAAAATTAAATTTTTTGAAGTGTGATCAGAAGGAACAGTAAAAGTTATTTCAATAATCTAGCAGAGCTATTCAAGCCATAAGCTATTTATTTTTCTAAATTAATTGTTGGAAGTTGTATTTTCAAATGTTGAAGTGTTGCTAAAGCAACTCAATTTACTCACTACATTTACATTTAGAGAACATATTAAAGTATTTTCACTTCAACTGTCTACTTAAGGTCTCTTAAATGTCTTACGTTTATCTTGGTGAAACCTGTTTTTTTTCACTGAACTATTTTAAGTCTCTATTTTGATGTCTAGTGTAAAATACTGTATGTGTGATGCAGAAGCGGTTCTGTTCTGAGACTTGGAGATGTCTTGGTTTGACCACGAGGAGGAAACACACGTGACACAAAGCAGGGTTTTATAGTTAACTAAAGCTAAAACCATAAAAGAAAAAAAAAAATGTTACATAAAATAAATTTAGCAACAATTTACAATGAGGTCTCATTTGTTAGCATTAGTTCATGCATTAACTAACATGAAGTAACAATGAAAAAATAAGCATTTATTAATCTCTGTTAATGGTTTTCATTTTAAAGTTTTTTTTTATTTTTTTATTTAACCAGATAAGTCAGTTGAGAACCAGTTCTCATTTACAATGACGACCTGGCCAAGTGGCAGCATAAAAAGCAGATACAAAACAATAAAGACAAACAATTACAAATAACACTTATAAACAGCAACATATAAGAACAAGCAAATAACTAAAAACAAGTACAATGATATTGTACTATTAACGGAATTGAGGTTTTAAAGGAAGAGAGCGGAATGAATGAACTAAGCTTTAAGAAAACTGAAAGGAGTCACAACCAAAGGAGGTATGCGGAAATTAATAAAAGTACTAGAGCGCAGATTACAACTTGTATTATGAATATTAAGAAGTGACTGTAAATATAGCGGAGTTTTCCCAATAAGAGTTTTGAGTTTTTGAAGCAGACCTATAAACTACATCACCATAATCCAAAATTGGGAGCGCTGTAATTTTAACCGGAAGATGTTTTGAAGAATTTGTAAAAGAAGATTTGTTCCGATAAAGAAAACCAATACGAGTTTTAACCTTATGTGAGTTTCAAATGACAGTTTGCCATCGAGCCAAATACCCGAGATATTTGTAGCATTCAACATAATCGATCTCAGAGCCATCCAATGAGAAAATTTTAGGCGGAAACTCAACATGTGGTAGATTTCTGTGAAAAAAACATACATTTTGTTTTATTTGTATTTAAAACTAAATGAAGACTAATTGCGAGTAAAACGGGCCTGCAATAAAGAGAGTGCAGTAGTCAGGGAAGAACTAAATGTATAAATAATAGTGTCATCAGCATATAAATGTACTTGAGAATCACCTGCGGCAAGGGCAATGTCATTAACATAAATATGAAAAAGTATTGGTCCCAATACACTTCCTTGTGGGACCCCTTTAGATAGGGGCGGGGGATCTGACAGAAGCCCCTCCACCGTCACTGATTGTAAACAGTAACTCTTGAACCAGGCCAGACAGCTCTCAGAGAGTCCTGTACCTCTTAATATTTCATGGTCCACAGAGTCAAAAGCCTTTGCCAGATCAACGAATGCAGCTACACCTTAAGTGTAGCCGTGATACAGCTATGCCCGGATCTGGATGAAGCACATTATAAGTCTCCAAGTGGTGCATAAGCTGCTCGTTAACCAACGTCTCTAGTATTTTAGAGAGACAGGGCAAAATGGAAATGGGTCTATAGCAATTTAAATCTGAGTTATCACCCCCTTTAAAAAGTGGGGTTACAGCAGCAGATTTCGAGTCCCTCAGAAAGACACCAGTTTGGAGAGAGAGATTAAAAATGTAAGCGATAGGCGATGCGATAATATGTGACCCTGGAGCACAAAACCAGTCATAAGGGTAAATTTTTTTAAATTTAGAATCTGGAATCTGAGGGTGCAAAAAAATCTAAATATTGAAAAAATCACCTTTAAAGTTGTCCAAATGAAGTTCTTAGCAATGCATATCACTAATAAAAAATGTAGTTTTGATATAATTATGGTAGGAAATTTACAAAATATCTTCATGGATCATGATCTTTACTTAATATCCTAATGATTTTTGGCATAAAAGAAAAATCAATAATTTTGACCCATACAATGTATTGTTGGCTATTGCTACAAATATACCCCAGCGACTTAAGACTGCTTTTGTGCTCCAGGGACACATATAAGCTGCTTTCTTTAAAAATAATGGATCTAATTCATCCAATCCAGCAGATTTATGAATATCCAGGTTGAGCAATTCCCCAAGTACCTCGGTCTCGTGTATCGACCGAAAAGAGAAGGAGGGGGGACCTAAGGCAGGTGAATGAATAACAGATGCCAGGTTGACAGGAGAACAATTAGAAGTACCAGAACTATTCTCGTAGGCACAGCCAGCATTGACAAAATCTCTGTTGAATTGATCCACAATTTGTGATAACAACGCCATCATATTTAATTACACTGGGCAAACAGTAAGAAATGTTTTCGTTTTCCATTGTTTTGATGGTATTACAAAATTTTCAAAATATTAAGAAAAACTATAATAGTATCTCAAGGATTTTAAAATAACACTGACATAAATTCTAGTACATTTAATTTTTTTAAATGAAAATGTGAAACATTTGGCTAGATTTACAATGTTAATAACTGTGGAAACGTGTCATTACAGTCTGTGATAAGGATTCATTCATGTTCCTGCTCTTAATTTGAGTTTTTCATCAACAACTTTATTCTAAAGAAATTATGTAAGAAAAAAAAACTGGAAAAAAAATAAAAAATTAATCATGACTTTTTCCTCACAATTTCGAAACAAAAAAGTCAGAATTGCGAGGAAAAAAGTCAGAATTGTGACAAATTTAGAATGGCAAAATGTAAACTCAGAATTCAGATCTCGTTCTATGTAATTTGGCAGTAGAATTGGCTGTGAATGGTTGTTCATGTTGATTTAATGCATAATAGCCTCATAATCAAAAACTGTAATATCTGGGAACTGGACATTTGTTGAAGTGACCATAGATCTTTATGCAGACGGACTCGTTTGAGTGAAGATCAGTGTTGTGTGTGTTTGTTCAGGAGGAACTGATAATCATCTGGTTCTGGTGGATCTGAGGCCTCAGGGGATGGACGGAGCGCGGGCCGAGCGTGTTCTGGAGCTGCTGTCCATCACAGCCAACAAGAACACCTGCCCTGGAGACAAGAGCGCACTGACCCCCGGCGGCCTGAGACTCGGTGAGAAACACACACACACACCGTACATGCTCAAACACACACCGTACATGCTCAAACACACACACACATACCGTACATGCTCGAACACACACACACACATACTCACACACACACACACACACA